AAAGAATCGAACTTGAGAACAAATACTTAGCCTTGAGAATAAATCTATCGTTGAATATAAGTGGGTTTTTAATATTATGGAATATACTAGTACATCTGAACCCTTAAGGTTTGAAGTTAGGCTGGTGGCTAAGAGTCGCACACAGAATGAGGGTATTAATTATAACGATATTTTTTCACCAGTTATTAAGTACACTACTATTAGGGTCATACTTGTATTGGTTGTACATTTTGACTGGAAACTTGAACAACTTGATGTAAAGACTATTTTTTTACATAGTGAACTTGATAAGCAGATCTTTATGAATCAATCAAGAGGTTTTAAAGATAAATGATCGTGTTTGTTTATTTAAAAGGTCTTTATATGGCTTAAAATAGTCACCTATATAGTGATATAAAAGATTTGACTCTTTTGTGCTTACTATAGGGTTTCAAATAAGTTTTATCATAGCCTGCATTTTCAACATGATGATGCCAATAATGACTATATGGTTTTATTACTCTACGTGGATTATATACTCTTAGTTGGTTCATCACCTAAATGGATAAATAAGATAAAAACAAAGTTGAATGGTAAATTTGACATGAAAGATCTAGGTAAAGTTAAGAGAATCATAGATATGAACATTGAAAGAGATATGTCAAATTCTGCATTGTTTTGGCATCAGTGTTCTTATGTTTCAAAGGTAATGAAAAGATTTGGTATGCATGATTGCAAACCTATTACACTACTTTTAGCTAATCACTTTGTGTTACCTAAAGATTAGGCTCCATGTAATGAAAAGGAAATAGAATACGTGAGTAGGATTTCATATTCTAATGTGAGTGGATCTATTATGTATTTGATGGTTTACACTAAACCGGATTTAGCTTTTACTGTTAGTACTCTTAGTATTACATGTTTAATCCGCCCGAGCATTGGGAATCCTTAAAGTGGATGTTAAGATATTTGAAGAGGACTAGTAACGTTGTTCTAAAGTTTGGTATAAGCCAAGGAATGAAACTGAAAAATATTGTCGATGCGGACTATGTGGGGATAGGAATAATAGGAAATAGACTTCATCCTATGTGTTTACTTTGTCTAACTCTTGCATTAGTTGAAAATCACAGTTACAACACATAGTTGTACTATCCACAACAGAATCAGAACATATTACTACCACTGAAGTAATTAAAGACGTTTTGTGGCTTAGAGGTTTGCTTCATGAATTTTTTTTTTTTAAATGATTATGTGGTAGTATATTCAGATAGTCATTCTTCTATACATCTATGCAAAAATTCTATTTTTCATGAACGTACCAAGCACATTGACATTAGACTATATTTCATTAGAGATATTGTATCACAAGAGGTGGTAAGACTTGAAAAAGTCCATACACAAAATAATCCCTTGTCAAGATCTAACTTTAAATTTTATAATTATTGTAAGAAAAATGGCACTTGGTAAACAATTGTTAAAGTTGTAGAATAAATCAAAGACAACTACAAATCAGCAATAAGAAATTTCAAGAGAGCAAGTATTACAGAAAATCCTGACAGTGATGGAGAGCTTCTACTTATGTCTAACTACCACTCCAAACTTCATGAGGCTTGAATTTTGATACAGCTTGCAATTTTCATATGTTACACGATCGGAAATTATTTTCAACATATGAATAAGTTTCTAAAAGTGTTGTGATGACTGGTAATTACACACCTTGTCACATAGCTGCTATAGGTCGGATCAGATTAAAGACGTTTTATGGAATGGTTATAACACTTGATGCAATAAAACATATTCCAGATCTGAAGAGAAATCTTATCTCCTTAAGTACCCTTGATTCAAAATGATATATGTACATTGTTGAATGTGGAGTTCTGAAAGTTATCAAAGAAGCACGTGTTGTATTGACGGGATATAGAAAATATCATTTATAATCGACATATTTTAAGAACTCTAGTGGATTTAGAGTTGACTTGTGTACCGTTGAAGTCTAATTTGACGTTTTCTTTTAAGAATACAAATCAGTTAAACTTTGAAGATATGGGTAAATTCGTCTTGTCACTATTATTGACGGTGTCATCATAATCAATTGCTAGAAATATACCCATTTTTTGCCATAACATTCCACATAGGTACAATTTAGCTGATTTTGTTGTGGTTTGAATGCAATTAAGGATGTTGATTCTAGTCAAGATCCTTCTTTTGATGTATTCAGTTGTGATTTTGTTACAAGTCTTGTTTCAAACTTTTTCATTGAAGAGTTCAAGTTGGTTCCTTGCAGTGAAATTTGTCTCCATGTGAAGAATTTACAATGGAATTATTGATGGAGAAGTTCGTTTGTGTTTTTTAAATTGAGGAGTTCAAGATTTGTTTAATGTGAAGATTGTTAGAATTTAGGTATGACCTGAATTCCATGTTGAAAAAAATTGAGAATTCTAATAAAATTGCATATAAAGAAGAATTCTATTTGGAATGCTATTGTGAAATCCCATTCAACTGTACTTGGTGAATTCTAATTGAAGTTCCACTTGGAAGGTCATTGGTAGTAGGAATTTGTGTTTGACATGAAGAGGACATTGAGATGAAAAAAATCAAGATTTTTGAAGTAAAGGAGCTGTGAGTGTGTACCGCAAAGCCATCTGATAAGTGTATTTTATATACTTATCTGGGGTTCCAAATAACGATATTTGATAGTTTTTTTTTGATAAAATATATTTTAAATAGTTGTATTTTATGTTATATAGGTAAAACTCAATTGTTGGACGAGAAATTGAAAGAAAGAAACGAAAATTGGTGAAAAGAGGCAAAATCCAAAGTTTGGGGATCAAATTGAAAATATTCAATAATTGATTCAGACCAAAAGATGAGTTGGAGGATTTTTAGAAGACAACTTTGAATTCACTCCAATCAAATATCAGAAGAAAAAGTTATGGTTAAAATAATGACTACTATGCAGAGACTAAAAATTTACTCGTGAAGGCAACTTGCCTTATTCGTTTGGAACTTTTTTGGAAGTCAATTTTTTATCAATTTTCGACTCCTAAAAATACCTACCAGCAGAATACATATGGAGGACCTCTCATATATATATATATATATATTACACTCCAATACTCACCAATTATTATCATCAAATCAGAAAAATTCATAATTGTTGTAAGAGAATTGAGGGGGATTTGTAAGAATTCAATCGAGTGAAGATTCAAACCTCATTTTTGGGTAAAGAAGAGAAGACAAAAGTGAAGATTCATCAAGAAACCATTGAAGAGATTCAAGATTTCAAGATTCATCTTCATCTTCTCAATTTATCAAAAATTCAGGTTATATATTTTCACTTAAATATGATTTCTTGTAATTTTGATATGATAGGTTAATTTTATACATTGTTAAGATGAGATGAACCATTCTCATGATATTTTTAGTTTTTAATTAATTATTTTGACTTTAATTTGATTTGATTTGTGGATATTTATTATCGTTTTCATCGTTCTTTTCAATTACTTGATCAATTGTTAAGATGAGATGAACCATTCTCATGATATTTTTAGTTTTTAATTAATTATTTTGACTTTAATTTGATTTGATTTGTGGATATTTATTATCGTTTTTATCGTTCTTTTCAATTACTTGATCACCAATTGAATTGTTAGTGAATTTTATTGTTATCGAGAGAGACAATAGAGTTTAAGCACATTATAATAAAAATTGTAAGGTTCGACAGAGGATAGATATATACCTCTGTGTTTTATTTGGTTTCAATATGTATTCTAGTACTTATTAATACATTTATCATGTTTGTATCTTTAATCGAGAGATAGAAATGTCACACGAGGGGAATAGATTTGAACGCCATCGAGAGAGGCTTTAAATTAGAAACATTAACCAATACAAATGATTTCAAATTGTCACTTTAATTGTTACACTAAAAAGAAATAAAAATGGGGATTCGATATCTTAGTAAAGCATCTCACACATTTGAAAAACACATTTACTTACTTTCATTAGTTTAATTGATAATTTAGGTATTAGTATAAACAAAATCACAAAATTTGTTTGCTATTCGATTAAAGTTGCAATTGATTCCGAACTTATATCAAATCAAATGAGTAAGCCATGGTATAGGGACTATAATTGAGCAGCTGTAACTGAGCATATTCTGAGGTTTAGGCCAAAGAAATGCCGGTGAAGGTTGTGAAAGATGAGTTGCTCCCACACTGGCCTTGCCATATTNCTACTTCGTTTTGGCTCCATCTTTTACATTCTATTTCAACTACAACTTTATTATTAGGTTGGACGTCCCCTATTAGTTCCCTATATATAGTTGGCTCTTCGTTATAATTTAGTAAGAAATTAGAAACACTATAAACACATCATCTTTGTATTCTTTATCCATATTACAAAAAAATTCTCATTCTCTGCAAAATTACATTGTTCATGTATTCAATTACTTCATATTGTGGCTTAATCTCTTATTTTTTTCACAATAAACTGGTATCAAAGCATTCCAGTCCACAACAGATTCTAAGTAGCTTCCTCCGGAAATTCTTTTACAAATAAGAGTCCCGTCAAACTTCCGTTAATTCGTTTTACACCTATATACATTGTACAACTATATTTTGTTGGAGATAATATTTAAATGGTTTACATTTGTTCATATCTAAATGTCTAAGTTTTTAGATCAAGTCATCTTACATGATAAAGAGTTGGCTGGGTTCAAATCTTGGACCACATATTTATACACAAATTGTCCGTGTGTAAAGCCTTGATGAGAAGAAATAGATCTCGCCTAGAATTAAGGTACGTGTTGAAATTAATATTTAAACGATATTCATTTGGCCTTATCTAAGAGCTTAAATTTTTTCATCTTCAACTTCTTTTAAAACTTGGATTGACAAGAGAAGGTGGCATACTTGACACACATATAGATGCTCATTCATATGACATGAAAAGAATTAAACCAGTGCAAAAATAATTAATGTCATTACAAATCACTTAACGAGGATTGTTGCTAGGATACATCATATCAGCATACAGACTATCTTGTCCAGAAGTTGTAAATTCTTGACCTGTTAATGCGATATCATATAGGTCTGATTGTTCACTCAACAACGCCATGTTTTCTTCAGCATTTCCTTGTTGATGCCAAGGATGTTTCATATATTTCCTTAATCCTTCCAACTCCATTGCCACTTCTTTCATTGTTGGTCTTTCATCGCTCTTCAAGTTGAGGCATCTTTTGATTAACTCACCAACAGCTTGCAGTTGTTCCAAACTGCCTTCCCTCAAAATCCGAGGCTCTAGAATTTGAAAAAATCTGTTTTCTTTAATGGACTTAATGAAATATGTAGCCAAGTTTCTCTCTTCTTCCGATTTCGTAGGTGAAAGAGGTTTCTTTCCTGTCATAAGTTCGGCAAGAACCACTCCGAAGCTATAGACATCACTTTTCTCGGTTAGTTGGCTCGTTTGGAAGTACTCAGGATCTAAATAGCCTAGAGTACCTTGAACTAGTGTTGTTACTTGTGTTTGGTCTAAGGACACCAATCTCGAAGCTCCAAAATCAGATATTTTGGCAGTATACATGTTGTCTAATAATATGTTGCTCGACTTGACATCACGATGAATAATAGGCATAGAAGCTGCTGAGTGAAGATAGGCCAATGCACCAGCAGATTCGGCAGCAATTTTTAACCGATTTTCCCAAGAAAACCAAGGCATTTCCCCACCATTATGTAAATGGTGAAAGAGTGTACCATTTGAAATATATTCATATACTAGAAGAGGAACTTCCGCCTCCAAACAACATCCCAACAATTTCACTACATTTCGATGGTTAACCTGAGTAAGGATAACAACCTGTGGAAAACAAAAATTTATATAAATAAATTTGTTCGCCTTCAATAGCATAAATTTCAAACACGGTAGTTCAATATGGTCTCAAAGTGTCAAATATTATATGTTTCAAGTCTTGCGGTGTATGAAAATTGCGCATGTGACCTTTGATGACAAATGAATATGAATTAGAAGTGTGGTCTGTGGAGCGTGGTGTGTGTTAACCTGAAGATACAAATTTAAATAAATTAATTTGTTTTTATGTAACTGAGGACAGAAATTTAAATAAATTAACTTGTTTTTACGTAAGTTGAACGTTACCTCATTAATGAATTGCTCAATTTGGCTCTGATCCATTATTCTCGATTTCTTAATTGCGACTACGCGTTCATCAGATAGAATTCCTTTATAGACTGTACCATAGCCACCCCTACCAAGAATCCGATCTTCAGCATACTTGTTGGTGGCCTTTTCAAGTTCTTCGGCAGAAAATATTTTGTTTGATTCTACTCCACCTTCATTTGAAGAAATTTGCTGCTTCAAAAGCATCCCACCATTTTGGTTGAAGAATTTTTCTCTCATTCTAACAAGCTTCCTTCTTTGGATGCTAAAATATAGACATGTCATAGCAATGATTATCGACAAGAAGACCGTGCTAAAACCTGAAAACATTGCGTAAAATATTGGATAACGAACAAAATTTCATCTCTGACTTAAGAGTTTCTTATCCTATTTTTGAACACAAGAGACATAACCTCTTTATAAATCATTTATTTTTTGTCAAACAGAAACATAATATACAGCACTGGAGTCTTGTTACTTATTTATTATTTCGACAAATAGATAGAAACTAGTTCCAATGCAAATAAAAAATTAAAATTAAGTAAAATTGACTTCCAAATTCGTCATTTCACAATAGAACATGAAAGAGGTACATATGCTTGATAATTAGAAGAAGAATGACCTATTGAGAACTTGATTACTGGGAACTGGGAGTTCTCAGCAGTGCAACCACGGCCATCTTTTTTGCCGTCGCCGGAGTATCCATGTTTGCAAGAACAGCTGAAGCTGCCCGGACTATTATTACAAATCCCATTTTCAGCGCATGGATAAGGATTGTTCTTACATTCATCAATATCTGTCAAACAAAGTACATTATTAAACCAAAAACTAAGTCAAAACTGCTGTGAATTGAAGTTGTGTTTTGATTTGTTTTACACTTCCATCTTCAATATTATTATTTATTTTATTTTATTTTTACTGAGATTTAATAAATCACTTGAAATAATTTATTCGGAAGGTGTAACTTTAGATTTTTGTTTATCTTGTATAAATCTGTCCAGTCTAAACAACAAAATGATTTATATACATTTTCAATTCTATTTTGTACTTTTCAATTAATAGAAGATGTGTAAAATAGTATTCAGAGTGTGTTTGATGGATATTATTTTGGAAGAATGTATTTTGAAAAAGTTATTGATGTGATGGAAAATATTATTTTAATAAAAAATATGTGGTTGAAAATGAGTAAAAGAATGAAAATGAAAATTTTAATGGGTACCAAACAAGGGCTCAATCTATCAATATATATTTACTTATATATATATGTGTGTGTGTGTATATATATATAAAGAGAGAAATGATGTACTAAGTCACATTCGGTGGATGAATTATACCAAACTAATCATTATTTAATATATAATTTGATCTATTATGAAATCATTCATCGATCAATTGACGTGATATGTCATCAATGGTTAATATATAATTTCTATATATACCAAACTAAGGTTGAACACGGCACCTAGCTGAGTGGCTTATTTAAAAACTACAGTATGTCTATTTACACGAAATGAATACTTTTCAATGACAACAAGAAAGCAGAAAATTCCCACCAATGATTATTGGACAACACAGCCTAACATTAGTCAAAAAAGAAAAATAATACAGTTGTCTTTTTGACAATTATCTACGGTATAAAAGTATAGTCATTTTTTATTGTTTATTGATTGCCGTGTTTGAAACCGGCTTTCTCGACTGCTTTTCTCCGCAGTCCATACATGCTTAAAAGGCATGGCAAAAATTAATCAACAAAAAAAAACTAACCTGTGCAACCTAGACTTAGATACGGATTGCCCTCGTATCCTCTCGAGCAATTACAGCGGTATCCACCAAGAACATCGTAATCAACACAAATACTGTTCTCAAGACAAGCATAATCAGCAGACTTCTTGGCCTCACTGCAACTCTGATTCCCAATAGCCCAATCAATAACTATTGGAACATTTTCAATTGTTCTATTCTGAAAATTCTCATCAGAAAAATCAGAAGTCCGAAATTTAAAGATATCCTGATCTCCAAGAAAAGCATAACCACAGCGATCAAACGACCAGACTTCTGTATGATTATTGAGGCTTCCAAGTGCAGAAGAAAAATCCTTTAGGCCTTTTGGTATAGGAGTCTGGCAACAACCAATACCTGTAAAAAGTTTGTACTTCAGTTGGCATTTAGGTTGAGCCCTCTTCAAAATCTGTACTATGTTTATTAGATTTTAATAAAACATATATGCTACTTATAGTGGTTTCGTTATTAAAAATATATACCTGTACAAAATCCATCAATCAAATCTTCGCTTTCGGAGCAAAGAGAGAGGCAGCCACTGGTGAAATTCCGGCCACTTGAGCCGACAATCACTGCCAGATCGTCGCAGCCCACCACCGTGAACTTGTTGGAATCAGCAAAGCTGTAAGGAGTTCCGGTGAAGTCGATCGCTACGGGATTTTCGCGGGTTATGTTACCAGTTTGGCTAAAGCATTGGGCCGCCACCGCATTCTTTATACGTAAGGTTCCGTTGGATATGTCGATAATTTCGAGGCTTTCGGTTGCAATAAAAGCCTTTGGAGGGTTGAAAGTGGTGTTGCAGTTTATATCAAACCATGGGCCCACTGAACAGTTTGTTCCTAGTCCAATTCCAAAAGGGTAGGGCACGGTCAAGTCTCCACACTTAGCCAGGCAGCCCGGCTTTGCGATGACGTCGGCGGCAGAGTTGGAGTAGAGAAGGGCTGCCAGTGAAACCACCAAGAAAATATTGATTATAGTAGTTTGGTGAAACATGTCTTTCTGCATGTTTCTTGAGAATAAATCTAATAGCCAAGGCATGAAATATGGAAGCTGATTTATATTATATAACCACCTGAATTTCAAATATATTGAAGTCAAATGAAATATTATATTAACTTGGGCAACCATGGTTAAAAGTTATATGAAATCGAGTGACCATTGTGAAACATTAAATGAAATTCAGTGGTAGTAGTGAAATAAAATCAAATTGGGTGATCATGATAACACCAAATATAAAGTTGAGTGGTTATGACAAAACAAAATCAACTTGGATGATCATGGTAACACTAAATATAAAATTGAGTGGTAATTAGTGAATTTAACCCCAAACATACACAATGAGTATAGACTGCAAACTGAATAATTTAATATATAGGAAATCGAACTCTCTACCTCCCTCTCTCTAAAGGCAAAAGTAGTCCGTTATCATCATCGCCGGGGTAGTTTCTTCACCTCTCCGAGGAGTATCTTTAGGCGTTCCTATATTAGCTCATTCACTTAGATGATCATTAATTAATTTACTAGCTAGTATCAATTATAGATAGCATTTTAATAGGCGTAAGGCGTGACAAAGAGGAAGAGAAAGCTCAGGTCTCAAGCCTTTCGTCTAGGAATAAAAAGACGTATTCTTATTCTTAATATTATTTAAGTTATTCAAAGACCATTAAATAAATAAAATAAAATACATCAAACAACTAAAATCATAAATATGCTTGTTTAATAATTTTTCCAACTAAACAATTTCCAAGTTTTCAAAAACTAGACAAGGGCCTCACCCCAACTCACACAGTAGGCGGCTTCCAATGGGCTGGGGACGGGGAACGTGGTTCCAAATTCCTCGAATCCTCGCTAAATCTATTGATTTTATTTTTTTGTTTTTCAATTTAAATTTTGCTTCCAAAATTAATTTCTTGGTAGTTAATTAGAAAAGCTTTACAGCAATCTGTTACGGGTGTTATGTGTTAATTAGAAAAACTCGTGAAGGTGATTTTTCTAGCACCTACTTATTGTTCCATCGCATGATTAGATGGATCATTCTCCCAAACATTTTACTAGTCTTTTCTCGGGAATATTTTATATAAAGATCCAAAATACTTTTTGGGATATTCGAGTAAACTTCGTCACGATGAAGTGTTGTGAAAATAATAATAATCATGGAATCAAAATTAAAATTAAAATTATTAACAATAAAATTTAATTTTGTTTACTATGCAACGAGAAACAAAAGCAGTGTTTTGCTTTGAAGGAATTATAATAATTGTTAAATTGTGGAATCTAATTATTATTGCTACACGGAATCCGTACGGTGCCCTTTTTTCTTTTTTTTTTTTGGTCATCGACGAATGAAAAAAAGCCAACTTTTTACCCTGTAAAAACTCTTTGAACCACATTTGTACACATAGCAAAGCTTTTATTTGGCTAGACTTATTATATTTTTTGATTTATTTCGGCAACTCTTTATAATGACTTGAATGAAGAATACCATCTTACTATTAAAAAAAAAAAAAAAATTAAGTTGTTACATAGATTTAATTCAGTTTTACTCAGGGGAGTAGGGAGGGGGCAAGGCTGAGGCTAAGCACCCAAGCCCATTTAAATTTTAATGTAAGGGAAAAAAACCTCTGTAAACTTTTTTTTTTCTGTGACTTAGTAATGTTTATACAACTTGTTAAACATATTTATCGTTATATTCAAATGGAATTTATATGTAGTGTGTAGGTGAAATTTATCGCATACAATTTATTGCAAATTATTCCACGAGTACAATTTTAAAAATAGGTTCAATAATTGGTCAACGATGACTGCGAATTATTCCACGAGTACAATGTACTGCCATGCTAGTTGAGTTTACTTCTTAAAAAATAGGTTCAATAATTGAATTGGTCAACGATGACTGCGAATCATTCCACAAGTACAATGTATTGGCATGCTAGTTGAGTTGAGTTCTTAAAAAATAGGTTCAATAATTGAAGAATGCATGATTGAAAATAAGAGAAAAATATATTTTGAAAATAATGGAGACCAAACAAAGGGTCACGTGCTTTTTCATGAATGAAGATTTTGAATCTAACACGACAATTACCAACTCGTCAAGGAGATTTTTCTAGCACCTACTTTTTGTTCCATTGCATGATTACGTGGATTATTCTCCCAAACATTTTACTAGTCTTTTGACTTTTCTCGGGAATATTTTATATAAAGATCCAAAATACTTTTTTGGATATTCGACTAAATTTCGTCATGATGAAGTGTTATGATCATGAAATCGACATTAAAATGATTAAAAATAAAATTTAATTTCGTTTATTATGCAACGAGAAACAAAAGTAGTGTGTTGCTTTGAAGGAATTATTATAATTGTTAAGTTGTGGAGTCTAATTATTATAGCTATACGGAATCTCTACGTATTTCATTAAGGATAATTTATGTATTTCGCACTTATAATCTCGATTTTAACCTAATTTTTCTTCAAATTGAGAGTCATCGTTAATGTTTAAAAAATCATCATCAAAAGATGGCAGACTAGAGAAAATAGGTGTGCGATTTCTCTTTTGTAAACTTCTTTTCATCATTGTAAATTACTACAGAGACAAAAGAAGATGTACTTTCACATTGGGTTGACCATCTATAAATCTCACATTATTATGTGTTTTTTTTTCTTACTGGGATTTTATTTTCATGATGATATAGAATTATAGTTCCAATCTCTCAATAGCAAGCACATAACAGGATTGAGCCAAGGTAATCTGTACGTTCCACCTTAGTGGTCAATAAATTTTCACAATCCTTTGCTATGACGAACTAGATCCCTATTACATGATTAGAGAATAATGGAAATACCATGATACCCAATGTATATTTGATAAGTTAGACATCCACAACATATTTAAAAAGAACCACATGACCAAATTTTTTAGTTGTCATGCAGGCTCGATCTATCAAAACTAATTTATATATTCTCGTAAAAAGTAAATTCCATGCAAGTTTTTTTTTTTTGGTTTTAATTGAACTCCGATTGTATCTAGATGTATGTATGATATAAACCCCGACCTGTGTATGATATAAAGTACAAATACACTAAAGACAAATCAAGACATAAAACTCGCCCTCTAAGCAAAATTTACGAGAAAGTTTAAAGGAGAGGTACTATCTCCTTTACATATTATGCGACCATAATTTCCACTACAAGACTATCAATATACCTAAATAACTCCCCGCACGTTCAGATCAAGTAGCTTCAGCAGCCGGACCAGTTCAACAACAGATCATAGTCATGGAGCAATCTCCAATGAGTTGAATTAGTGCCAATTTGCATTAATCTAACTTCTGAAAAGAAAAAAATAACATAATTGACTTAGAAAATCTTGTGGAATCTTTGGATAGAAATTTTATCAATCCCTAGCTTCATTTCATGCTAGAAAATAACCAAGTTTTGAGAACTATTTTTCATTAAAAAGAAACAGAATAGAGTGGACGTCAAGTCTTCAACCAAGTTGAGGATTAAAATTATGATTCTTGTATTCATCTTCTCAATAATTGGTATTATGAATTATATGTAATGAAGTTACTACGAAGGATCGTGTTTTCTTTGAAATGATTATTTTAAGTTTTTAGGAATTGAAAGGATGTAATGCAAAGAATTAGAACATGTTAGGTGAAATAGAGATACTAATGATGTGTTTAGATTATATAATTCAACAGACACAGATTTTGAATTAAATTTCTTTGTCACTCATTTACGAAAATTATATACATGTCGGAACTTTAATAAGCCCTTGTTTGATCCACATTATTAAAAAAATTATTTTTTCAAAACTCATTTTCAATCACACATTCTTCAATAATTAATATTACACGCAAATTCAGATTTTTTCCTTATTTTTAACCATGTATTTTCCGCCACATCACATCATAAAATGCATTCTTTTCTCAATAATGTGCATATAACATTCATTCTGCATGTGAGTGAAGTTGTACAAGACTAAATTGTAAATCCCAATAATTTTTTATTGGGAGCTAAGAAACTACAAATAGACTTTGTCATCCCCATTTCTTTTTATGGGATGAATAACTTTTACCAATAGGTCAACTACATATTTCATCTACTTTTATCAAAATTTACCAAAAATCTAACTTTTATGCTTAATTTGTTATTGGGTCTATCCCTTCTATTAAGAGCAAAGCAAAAAAATAGACAAAGCATATGACTAAACCTATATTTATCAAGACTTAATTTGTTAATTTTTAAGGATAATACTATCAGAACTTTCAATATGAACAATGCTGTAGAATTGCAAGACTCCCATCCGTAAATAGATACAATTACTGCAAAGAACAATAAGATGAAAACTTATTGGTCTTCAGAAGCAAAAAATGAAAATTGAAGAAAAATGTCAAATGAACCATCAGAAATAGTACAGTAGATAGGGGTGGGCAAAAAACTGAAAAACTGATTAAACCGACCGAACCAAGCCGAGTCGGGTCGGTTTAGGTTGGTTTGAACCAAAAAATCGGTTTGATTTGGTTAATTTTAACCATTAAAAACTTGAGTTGGGTTGGTAGCGGTTTAAGCAACCAACCTGTCAATTAACTAATCCAACCCGCAAATACATTTTATTTTTTATTTTTTCATTTTAAAATTCATCTTCTTAAACTTTAAAAAATAAAAATAAAAACACAAATATAATTCTTTATTAAATAATTTATTTACCGTCTACGTTTTTTCTATCAAAACTTCAAATTTTGAAAGAAAATAGAGCAAGAAGAAGTATTTATTATAAATTCCAAATTTAGATTGTATCATTGCTTTTCATTTTTGATATAATTCTTTGTTGGTAACTATCACATATATACGATAATTTTGAAAAAATCAACCAACTACCATTTATGTTATATATATTATTGATACGCAAGCAAAATAAAAAAATAAAAATAAATATATGTACATACGTATGTATGTACAGAAAGGCAAATTTTTAACTAAAAATAGATACATAATCTTTTTA